AGAGAGAGAGAGAGAGAGAGAGAGAGAGACAGAGACAGAGAGAGAGAGAGAGGCAGGCATGCACAAGCAGAGAGTTGAATTAAAAAAGATACATTGAAATACACTTAGGGACACCCATAAATGCAGGAAGAAAGCACTTTAAGAAGAATGTAGGTGTACAAAGATCCATATATATAGACATACATGGACAGGCATGCACATGCACAGGGATATAGCAAGAAAACTACATTTACTATACTCAACATAAATACTCAACTGACATGGATATAAAGATAGAGTTCAAGAAGCCTACTCACATTTATATCTGCACTTATGAAATATTTTCTCCAAGGGAATGCATATAAATATGCCACCAGTTAGCACTAAAGATGATCATGAACCCAAAGGATATAATAAAAGCAAATCAAATTACCCATGATTTAAAATCTCACAGTGCATCCTCCCATCTGCCACAAGAAAGGCAGCCAAAGACATTGGCAGGCTGTGTGGAAGCCATAAAAAGCCTTTGACTTACCTCATAGAAAAATTAACCTCAGGGAAAAAAAGATTAATATTCCCAATTTTTTGTAGCCATAAAATAGCTCAAAAACCCATTTTTAAAATTGCTTCCATTCCACATACTGGAAGCTCTAGCACTTGCAATATGTCTATTAAAAAAGAAATCTTAGAAGAAATAAATGGTCCCAGAGGCCCAGCAAGTCCCAAAGGACTAAGAAAAAGGTCTTACTTCATTAATGTGCTTGTTTCCTTGTCTCTGGGCCTTCAAGTATCCACCAATGTTCTTGCAGGTTTCTAGTGTCTTGGAGCCCTGGTCCAAGTTACCTGTGGTAAGAGAATATCCTTTATGTTGAGTCTAGACCTCAGCTCCCTTTACAGAGGCCTGGCTTCTGGTCAACCTAGAACCACTAGGAGTCAGATGAATGGGGAAATGGGAAGGAATATTCAGATGAGGCCAGTGGTGGGAAGAAAGGGAGCTGAAATCAAAAGACAGTATCTGAAGTACCCTGGACCTTCTTACACTGCTCAGAGAATATCTTGAGAGAGGAAGAACCTCAGGACCTCATTAGAAACTGCAAGAAAGAATTCCAGGTCTGGACATGTATGAAGTACTTAAAGTCTTAGGTGGCATGGAAAGCTTGGTTAATTAAAGTATGGGAATATTGTCAAAACATTTTGAATGATAGTTCAAATTTCTTGACCCTCCAAAACTTCCCCAGTTCTACATTTTCATTCCTTTCTATAACCCACCTGTTAAGAAGAAATATGATCAGTGGATATATCCAAAAACCTGGGAGCAGGAGGAGAAACCAAGAACATGTCCAATCAGACCCAATTAGTAAGTGAAATTTGTGTTATCAGAATAGACAGAGAACACTACCTCCATTTTGGAGATAAGGATACTGAGACCCTAAAAAAGGGAAAGATTAGAACAGACTACACACAGGCACACACAGAAACCCAGCAACAATCAGTTTAAATCAAGTAGATATAATTATCAGTCAACATAGATAAACCCCACAGTGACCACAAATCAAAAACCTACAATAAATACATAAAAAATGAAAAAGAAAGAAACCTAAGAATAAGACAAGGGAAAGTCATCAAACAAGAGAAACAAAAAGAAGAAATAAACAGAGAAGAACTACAAAAACAATGGGAAAAAATTTTTAAAAAGTCAGTAAGTACCTAACTATCAATAATCACTTTAAATGTCAATGGACTAAATGTCAAAAGTCATAAGGTAGATGACTGGATTAAAAGACAAGACCCTTCAGTATGCTACCTACAAGAGACTCACTTCAGGGCTAAAGACACAAAACAAAGTGAAGGGACGGAGAAGGATATTTCATGCAAATGGAAATGACAAAAAGGCAAGGGTAGCAATAATCAGACAAAATAGTCTTTAAAACAAAGACTACAACAAAAGATAAAGTACATTACATAATAATAAAAGGATCAACATACAAAGAGTATATTACACTTGTTAACATATACACACCCTAAATATATACATACTAACAGACACAAAGGGAGAAAATGAAAATAATAGAACATTAGTAGGAGAATTTAACTCCCCACTGACATCAAATGACAGATCATCCAGACAGAATATCATTAAGGCAACAATGGTCTTAAATGACACATTAGAACAGTTTGAATTAATGTCTACAGGACATTACATACATTGCAAACGTCAGAATACATATGCTTTTCAAGTGTATATGAAAGATAAAAATCACATAATAGGTCACAAAACAAACCTCAACAAATTTAAGAGGATAGAAAGTATATCAAACATTTTTTCCAACTACAATGGCATGAAACTAGAAATCAACTATAGAAAGAAAGGCAAGAAAACAACAAACACATTGAGACAAAAAAAAAAATGCCAGAAAAGCTTCCCACTAAAATCTGGGACAAGACAAGGATGCCCACTATCACCCCTCCTATTCAACATAGTCCTGGAAGTCCTAGCCACAGCATTCAGGCAAGAGAAAGAAATAAAAGGGGATCCAAATTGGAAAAGAAGAGATAAAAGTGTCATTATATGCTGATGACATGTTACTATAT